TCAGCCTCCTGAGTAGCTGGGATTACAGGCACGCGCCACCATGCCCAGCTAATTTTTTGTAGTTTTAGTAGAGACGGGGTTTCACCATGTTGACCAGGATGGTCCTGATCTCTTGACCTCGTGATCCACCCGCCTCGGCCTCCCAAAGTGCTGGGATTACAGGCTTGAGCCACCGCGCCCGGCCGGAAAAGATGATTTTTTAAAAATTTATAGAAATGAGGTTCATATAGCCCAGTGGTTATCAAGCAGGGGCAGTTTTGTCTCTGGAAGTATTTGCAGTGTCTGGAGACAGTAGCGATGGTCACTACTTGGTGGTGGTGGTAGTTGGGGGCTATTGGCACCCAGTAAGTAGAGGCCAGTGATGCTGCTAAACTCCTACAATGCACAGGGCAGCCTCCCAGCAAAGAATGGTGCTGTCGATGGTGCAGAATGGAGAAAGCTTGGGTATAGTAGAGAACACCCCAGTTCTAGAAAAATGACATATTTAAATATGCTGCAGCCTTGGATTATTCCATGTGTGTATATACGTGTACAGGACACTGGCAAGGAAGAATCAGAAAACCATGTTCCCCCCGTGTCCCTCTGGTTGATAAATGGGCTTAAATTGTGTTTAGACTATATTTGAGGAAGGCAGAGAGAACAAAGAGGGCGTTTGAAAGGCTTTAACAAAATGGACTGGCCGGGCACCATGGTTCACGCCTGCAATTCTAGCACTTTGGGAGGCTGAGACAGACAGATTGCCTGAGCTCAGGAGTTCGAGACCTGCCTGGGCAGCATGGTGAAACCCGTCTCTACTAAAATATCAAAAAATTAGCCAGACATGGTGGCGTGCACCTGTAGTCCCAGCTACTCGGGAGACTGAGGCAGGAGAATCACTTGAACCCGGGAGGCAGAGGTTGCAGTGAGCCGAGATGGTGCCACTGCACTCCAGCCTGGGCGGCAGAGTGAGACTCCGTCTCCCCCACCCACCCATAAAAAGGACTATTACAGCATCAATATGGATTACATGAAAACTTTCAATAATGAATTTCATTCATTCATTTGTTCAACAAGATATTATTTCTATAAGGCACTCAGAAAGTGCCTGGCACAGA